AGTCTTGAATGTTTTGTCTTCCATTCAACCTACCCTTTGACTTTTGTTGCTATTTTACTAATTATATGGAATTTCCGTTTGGTGTCTTCTTCAATTCTTATTTTGTTACTTTACTTACATCTCTTATCTCTTTGAATATTTTAAATATGCTTACTTTGGAGAGTCTTTAATTTTCTCTTATTTTCTTCTAGGAGTGAAAATTCTTCTGGGTGTTACCTCTTTGCTTTCTGTGCAGTGTCTGTGTAACCTGGCCTGTGGAAGGGGTCCCAGAAAGAGGGGTGACACCTTTGCATCTGCCATGCTCTACAGGTTCCATCAGTTTCAACCAAGTTTTCATGTTTGAATTCTGAAAATGATAGCACAGAGTTTTAGCCAACAAATGGTTATTATGAGGAAGAGACAGAGTGATCCCTTTGTTGCTTTTAACCATCTCAGTTAATGACACTTTATAAAAGACAGGAGAAGCTTTATTCTGAAGTCTAAATAAAAATGAGTTTAACTTGGGGCGTCTGGGTGGCTCAGTCAGTTAAGCATCTGCCTTCGGCTGAGGCCATGATCCCAGGGTCCTGGGACAGAGCCCCGCATTGGGCTCCCTGCTCAGCGGGGAGCCTGCTTCTCCCTCTCCCTCTGTGTGTGCTCTCTTTCTCTCTCAAATAAATAAATCTTTTAAAAATGAGTTTAACTTGACAACATAAGTACATATTTAGGTAGTTGCCACTATTTTAAATGTTAATGTAATTTACATATAAATGTGAGTATAATTTTCAATATAATTTAAATGAAATTCAAATTGACTATTTGAAACACCTCTGGGAACACAGTTTTACAGTCATTCACTTAGATTCTAGGACCCCCATCAGTGTTGCCTGATGTTTGCTATGTCGACCTAGGATCCGTGTGTGTAAAGAAATAAATGATCAAAGCCAATTATAAATAATTTTTTAAAAATCACTTAATTGTGTGTTAAGGACACAGTTTTTGGAAGACAAGTGCCTGGATAGGTCTGTTATTCCTCAGAAGGAAAGCTGGTTAGTTTTAGGGGGTTCTCTCAGCTACCGGCCTAGTGTGTTCTAAAAAAAAAATATTTGCCTGGGATCCTTTCTAATTGACTGATTTCCAAACTATTTACATATTAGCAAAATCTTATCTTTTCTTGGAACAATGTTCCCATATATTTTCAAATGCACAGTGAAATTCAAAAACACATACTCCAGTCTAAAGTGTTTTGTGCACCAGCATCAGTGGCATATAAATAACAGATACTGTGTTCCTAAGAAGTTCAGTTTTATATTGTGTTAAATGTGGTGGTGATTTTCATTTTGTAATCTGCATAATTGCTAGTAAATTTAACAAGTTATCTGATATGTGATTTTTTTCCTCTTAAAATTTAAATTTCAAAACTCATTTAAACTCTATTGTTTTAAGTAATGTGTAGCATCACTGTACTTCTTTTTATCTTATGAATCTCACAAATGCAAAAGAATACCAGAAAAATGCCACAGAATTATCACTTGGCTGTCAAAACATGAGTTGCTGCTCATCAGGGATCAGGGACTACTCTTGCTGCGCATGTGTCTTCCATCCGCCCGTTTACATTTAGTACCTTAATGGTTTTGCCCTTCATACTCTGGCTGATCTATTTGCTTTATATTTTTCCTCTCCGCTCCCCACCCCCCCGCCGTGCCATTAAATAAACAAAAATTGCTCCACTTTGGTTTCTTTAGACCCCATTTCTTGTCCTTTTGGCATTGCCTCTTCCTGGTTTTGGCATAACTTATATGTGTTATCTGTGTCGTCTTTCCATACCCTGTTGCCTTGGTAGGCTTAGGGAGGCTGCCAGGCTATAAAGTAGATATGAAACTCAGGTTTCCATGAAAAGCATTCCCTCATCGTCAAGTCCAGCTTTTCTCATCCTTTGGCTTAATAGGATTACACAAAGGCCATTTGATGTTAGGCCTGCTGTGTTAGCAATTTAATGATGTTGAGAAAGAGACAGTGGCCAAGTCTTAATGAGACTTTGCTATTTCACAACCTCTAAATCAAGACATACAGCTGAGGAAGTCTGGCTCCTTGCCACCCTACCAGCTGGATGGTATATGCATTGTTAGTATCACCTTACAGCTTGACTGGAGCTTCAGCGTGCGGGCTGTATGGTGTGTGATGTGGTGGGGAGCTGTTTCCATGAATGGGTGGGGAGGGAAACTGACTTGGAACATTGTCATTTGTGGATATAGCTACAGTGTTCTATCCCTTCATGATGGTAGTATCTTCAGTATCTTATATCTAGGACTAGAGTTTTGGAAATTGAAGTTAAGATCTGGAGACTAAGAGAGTCATAAATATTTTATTTATATTAATTTTTGGCTCTTTTTCTCTTTATATCTTTAATTCTATATTTATTATTTTTAAACTCATTTAAAAATAATTTTATATTTACTGTATTTCTAGACCAAATTCTTGAGTTTTTGGACTCAGCCTTTATATACTCATTTTATGTCTCTTGCTTCTTAAGAAAAGGGCACCTTGGTCTCTTAGTCTGCTAGTTTAATATTTTAATTGTTTTAATACCACGACAGCTAGCATCTCAGCTGTTGATCACTACTGTTATTATTTCAGATAGTAGGCATTTATTCATTCTTTTTTGCTGTATTCCTAAATTTTAGGTTTAGTGGATAAAGAGGGTCAGCATTTGGATCCTTGGAGTCGCTCGTTATAAATAGACCGGAAAATAGCAACAGGCTGGGCTGCTGCTTCACTAATGGCCCTTTTCAAATACTTAAAAGCAAATGATTCATCAAATAGAATCACTAAAAGCAGAAACCTGCCAATTTGTAGAATCTGACTCCTCCTAATCAGAGTAAGGCAACAGGATGTTGAGTTCCTGCTCTGCACCTGATTAAAGCCAAATGCACAAGGAACAGCTGGGCAAAGGAGGAAGCACAAAACCGTCTCAGCTGGGGGTCGGAGAGCTAAAGAAATTTAGAGGAAAAATTATTTTTCAAAAACCTCCCACATTTGTTTTATTTTTTCAGATATGCTCAGTAGATAAGCACAGATTCAGTCTCAGGCTTTGCTTTTTTTCAGTTAACATTCCATCTATAATTTAAGGAAAACAAATCTATCTAGGTATGGTTTAAATAAGGTTCCTTCCCGTGCAAGATGATTTCCAGGTAATTCTCTTATCATCCTAATCCTGCGTGTTTTCTCATTAGGCATTATTCTAGCTATGAAAACAGTCACTTAGCTTCATGTGTATTAAACAGTAATGATTTTCCCCATTGAATTTCTGTGTTACTAAGCATTTTTCTCATTAAGGAGCTCTCTGATGATTTTGATTTTTTAAAAAAATGTATACATCTGAATTCACTGTAGAATTTTCTCATGATTATGAAAGCATTGCAAAATATATTATCTGTAGTTATTTTAATGTTTTTATAAAGTTAAGGTAAAACTCTGCTTGCCAGAAAATGCATTTTAAAAAACTTGGAAGCATTCTACCTATCCTAATTTAAATAGTAGAATTGAAAAAGTATTAAAAAGGTAAGATTATTTTTATATTATTTTAAATCTTGCCATTTAATAATCTGCATCTCTGATAAGTCATATATATATGTTGTACTTATTTACCCCTAAATTATAACCTTTAGGCATACATATTGAGTGTTGATGTATATAAACACACACACATACACACACATATGTACTGTCTATAAAACATGACAAATCATTTTTAAGTATGTATTATTCCCAATATATATTTCTCAAAATACCATTTTCTTGGGATAAATATGTGTACAGCATCAGTTAGATAAAAAAATTCCTAAGACTCATAGCAGTTTTCTAGACATAATGCCAGTTTAAAATTTTACGTGTACATGTACTTTAAAAAATCAAGAACCAGATAAAGCCATCATAAGAAAACACATACCAATATCTCTTGAATAGATGCAAAAATCCTGAACAAATACTCATAGACTGAATCCAGCAACGTATAAAAAGGATTCTATATCATGACCAAGTGGGATTTATCACAGGAATGCAAAATTGGTTTAACAAAATTTGACTAATGTTATACAACCTATCCAATAAAGACAAAGAAACACATAATCACCTCAAAAGACAAACAGAAAACGTGACATTTCAAAAATTCTGCTCTCTTTCATTCTACTTAGGAGTAGAAGAGAACTTTCTCAACCTGAAGAAGGGTATCTACAAAAATCCCACAGCTAACATAGTACTCAATATGAAAGGCTGGATGCTTTCCCTTTAAGATAAGAGATAAGAGAAGATTGTGGGCTCTCTTCACTTCTGTTCAGTGTTTCACTGGAAGTTCTAGACAGAATAATTAGGCGGGTAAAAGAAATAAAAGGTATCCAGATAGGAAAGAAAGAAGTAATACTTCTCTATTAGCAGATGATATGATGTTATGTTGTATTAGATAATCCTAAGGAATACAAGAAAAAATTATTAGCACTAATAGGTGAGTTCAGGAAAGTTACAGGATATCAGATTGATATACAGAAATCATTTGTATTTCCATACCTTGTCAGTGGCCAGTAAGCACATGAAAACATCATTAAACCATCAGGGAAATTCGAATCAAAACCACAGTGAAATGCCACTTTACACCCACTAGAAAATGTCTGCAATCAGAAAGACAAATACCAAGTGTTAGTGAAAATGTAGAGAAATTAGAACCCTTTACACAGCAACCTTTTCTGGATCTCTTGAGACAATCATGATTTTTATCATGTGTTTTGTTTTTGTTAATGTGGTGTACTGATTCATTTGCAGATATTGGATCATTCTTTCATCTCTGGAATAAATCCCACTGATCACAGTGTATCATTCTTTTAAGATTCTGTTAAATACTAGTGACTTTCAACACTTTAAAGATCTTTTTTCCATTATATTCTATTTTACATCTTCTGACAAGTAATCTCCAGTCATTCTTGTCTTTGCTTCCCTTCAAATCTTTTCTCTGCTTTAATTTTCTCTGTATCGCTTCTCGGCCTTTTGGCTAAGATCAAGTGTAGTATCTGTTCTTATCAGTTTAATTTTCTCTGTATCACCAGTTTACAATAATATTATTATAATGTGCTGTATGGTTTTTCTAAGTAGTTATCCTGCTAGGGGTTCATTAGGTTTCTTGGATCTGAAAGATTCAAATTAAACTGTGATGATTTTTCAGCCATTTTATCTAGAAATATTGTTCTTGTATTTTAATAACATATATATTAGACCACTTATATTTTCCCATCTGTCACTGAGGCTCTGTTCAAAATAAGTCTAAGCCATCTCTTTTGGTGAGTACCATAACATTTATTTTTTGATTGATTCTTTGTAGAATTTTGCTGATTAAGATATGAGAACTGCTTTCTTAATTTTCTATTTCTAATTGAGATTAGTGGCTTTGATCACATTTTAATATTTATTTTTTTCTTTCCATTTGTAGTATCTTTTCTTTACCAGTTTTTATCCCCTTCATTTCTGACTTTTTTGGTACAGATTAAGTTTCCATTGCTAGATTTATCCCTCCCTCTCTTAGACCTGCCTTATCCCACCTTGACCTATCTGCTGCTTTGAATGTGTCAGTGTCTTTTATAAGAACTTCAGTGTTCTTCAAATTAAATCCAAGATTTCCAGGCTTAACTTCTGGTTCTTTTAAAATTCCATTAAACTGTATTTCTTCTCTCCTCTCCTACTCTTATTCCCTCCATTGCTTTTCCTTAGGATCCCTTCAGTTGGTTTAGAGTTGACACTTTTATTGAAAGAAGAGGCTTTGGGTAGAGTTTTGGTTACTTATTTTTTACTTTATTTATTTTTTCTGCTTTTCAAATCTTATATGGCCTATTTTTTTTCTTTTTTTAAGATTTCATTTATTTATTTGAGAGAGAGAGCCTGAGAGAGAGAGAGAGAGCATGAGTAGGGGGAAGAGGCAGAGGGAGAGGGAGAAGCAGACTCCCCACTGAGTAGGCTGCCCAACATGGGGCTTGATCCCAGGACCCTGAGATCATGACCTGAGCTAAGGCAGACGCTTAACAGATTGAGCCACCTAGGTGCCCCTATATGGCCTATTTCCTTCATTGATTGTTCTTTTTTTAAGAATACAAAAATTAGAATTGCTTTTGGAATATCAGAGCAGAAATTCCCTTGAACCTTCCATACCTGTGAGCTGTTTGTCCTTTTCTTGAATGTAAAAGGTAGAAAAATAACTTGTCATGCTGTTATTTCAAACTATAAAACTTCCTATACTCAATGACACATCTCTCTTTCTACCTGGATGTCTATGTGTTGTCATTATTTGGATATAGGCCAGTAATTACTCTGATTTGAATTGTCCTGCTCATGATTTTCTTCTACTGCAGGGTCTGACTAATACATACATTTACCTTCACCTCATTTCTTAATATAATGAAATTCCCCAATATGTTTCTTAAAATTATTCAGAACATTTGAAAACTCACTGAGGTGATGCACTCTGTTTTTCTATATCTTATTCATCTTTGGAGTCTGGTGATTACCTTTTTTCTTTAATGGTGATGTTTTGTGTTTATATATATATATATATATATACACATATATATATATATATATAGACAAGTTGACTAGAAATGCCAGTTTCTGTAGCCGAGATGATTTTAAAGTCACTATGGACTATAGAATGAAACAGTTTTATTTTTTAATTCATGAAAAAATTAAAGATGATTTTTGGAAAATCAGATGGTTAAGGGGGAAAATACCATATATTATCTAATGTGTATATCCATACTTTGAAGCTATAAATGGGGGAGGTTTTTACATAATTACTCCACCCAACAAAAACTTGCTCAAAATAATTTTAAATTTTAAAGTAATTTATTTATTTTCTATCATATTTTTAAGAGTACAAAGAATACTCTTTGTGAAACTTTCTTTTATCTTTTGTCACTTTTTATTTATCCCTAGGATAAACCCCAGGAAGTTATAGAACAGCAGAACTTGCAGTAAGCATATTGCTCAAAACATGTGCACATTTGAAGGTACAATATTTGCAGTATGCTCTGGAAATGGCTCTCCTAACTGCTTTGAACACTCAGAAAACTTCATGTATTGTGGATTCATGTAAATGAATTTATAGGTCAAAGTGATGTAAAGTAATTTTGTGATGATTGATTTATTTGAGGGAAAGTTAAATACCTTGCTAATTTTTTGGTTACAGAATGGAAAAGATGGTGGAAAATTATTGGTGTGTAGTCACAGTGGAATGATGTTGAAAAGTATGTTTTCAGATAATACAGAGAATACATAAATAAAACAATAAAATGCTACATAAAGTACTCATTTTTAAGTTTACCTATTAATAAATACAAATTTTATTTTGTGGCAATTGTTAAGAAATATATTGCTATAAGCAGAGATTTAGAACCCAATTCTTCGTTTTTTTGCCCCTGAAGCCAGTGAATGGGTTTGATGGTTTCTACATTTCTGTCAGTGTAGCTGGGTGAATGGTGGTAGAAGAAGTCCAAGCAGAGCTATTCTGATGGCAGCTTGGACATGCTTGTCTGGACCTGAGAAGATAGTTGAATCAGAGGTGAGGATTTGGAGGTTGTTAGCGTATTGAGTGGTAACTGACTGTGAAGAAAGTTGGAAAAAGTGAGCTCTATGAAAAGATGGCTTCTGGGGGTACCAAGAAATAGACATGTCTTAGATGGTAGGAGCCTAGTTAGGAGTGTTAAGAGAAGCAAGAGGAGAATTTGAGCTGGTGGTTTCAGAAACCAAGGGAAGTGGTGTATTTCAAGAGGCATGGTACAGTTCCATTGAGTGAAATGCATTCAGAAAGATTGCCATGTGTTGAGGATCCAGCTGAATTTGGAAGCCATATGTTGGAAGTGTAGCTCTCTACTTTGGTTCATGGAATGGAGAAGACAAATGGTTATGTTTTAATTGGATTAATGGAAAATCAAGAAGGTGAGGTATGGGTCCTGATAGAGTGAAATGACAGGCTATGGGATTTAGGCTTTCCTCACTCTTACCAAAATTTCTGATAGATAATAAGCTGACAAAAATGAAAACTGTTAAACTCAATATCACATGTCAAAATGCCAGTTGATTTTAGGATATTATCTCCTGTCGCTGTGTATTCCAAGCCATATAAATTTGTCTCTTTTCTTTCCTTTATGGTGTTAGAATCATAGAGGGCTAATTGTTTTCTGTGGGGTAAATGGCCCTGGTAGACGAAGTGACTAGAATTTTCTTGCCTCTAGCTTGGACCATACTGTTGAACTCCCTGAGTCCTAACGATACTTAACATCTTGCACAGGCCTTGTGTTTTGAGGTAATTTAAAACCTTATTAATCCAGGCCCCATTGAGTCAGGATTTGAGCCATTCCAGACACAAGGCTTATTAAAACTCACTGTAACAGTCTCTGAAAAAAGTTCCACTAAGCAAACTAATCGTGCAAACAAGATTTTAGCAAGAATGTTCAAACTACTTAAAACAGGACTTTGTTTATAAGCAGCTATAAGTACTTCTTAAATACTTTAGAAGCTCTCACTTGCTTATAAACTATCTGTACACTCATTGCAAATCACCCTATCTAGTTATTAAATCTATGGATTGATGCTATATAAGATTTTATTAGTTTAATTCCAGTTGCTGTATTTTATACAGTTTTCAGCAGCTAATGTCAAACATTAGCTCAATAATTTTCTAAAGAGTAGCATTAAATCCAAACACCAAAGCCCATTTAAAAGTTGCTTAAAATTAGGGTCTTTGTACCCTTGCTGTTTTATCCCACAGTCCTATTTTCATCACTCCTGCACTTTCCCCGCACAATTTTACAAAATGTCGATGGACGAAGTGTTCAGGATTTCTTTTCCTATTTCGTGATTGAAGTACCAGAAGTTTAGAATTTTGGTGACAGTCTTGAGGCCGAGTGATATTTCAGAAAGCCTTGGTCAATATCAATATTGGACGAACCCCAGAAAGTGAAGTCTTTATATCAATTCTTGGTTCTAGCAGCTCATGGCCTGTGAGAGTTCCCTAATATAAAATCTGTTATGATTTGGAAGGACTTAAGAAAAACCTTAATTTTTAAAATTAGCTAATATTATAGTAAATTACTGTTTATGTAACATTTAAAAAATGGCTAAATTCTGTACTAAAAGTTTGAGTTGTTTTGAAGTCATAACAGGTAGCTATTTTATGTGATGGATAATGAATAGTGGCTTCTTGATGGCCTCCATAGTTCCTGATTTCCACTATACCAAGAAAAAGTCCTTTGGAAATTTTGCTGCTTTAAATCTATATCCTTTTAGGGAGTAGATGTGGTATGACTATTAAATATTTTCCAAATTGTTGATCTCATGGAAGGGGATTACCCTGTAGCCTTTTAGCAATGGACATTCTCTAAAAAGGGCTAACAGATAAAATGTAGAGATATACGTCCAGATTAATTTTTATTTCAGTGACCTCTGAACACTTTGTACTCTTTCAAAGAGAAGGGCCTTTTTGTTGCAAGCTGAATTGTAACAATAGAAGATTTAATAATGTATATAGTGCAGGGTATTATATGAATGTATCACTGGATCTTAATTTAACATGTGGTAGATGTCTAAATGTCAAAATATAAAAAAACCTGCATTGCATCTTTACCAGAAATTTAGGGTAAAATATTCTTTTGAGGCAAACATAGTATTGGAAAAGGATTCATAATAAACAGGATTCTTAGTGTAGTAGCCACTTAAAATAATGGGCTCGGGCACTAATCTGGGGCAGTGCTTTCCCTTAGCTTGAAAGGTGTCAACTTAGTCCTGAGATGATGTTATCCCTGCTTAGTGCAAGGCAGGTTTCAAAAATCAGTAAGTTGCTAAATTCTCTTGTGTTCCAGTTTGACTATTCTGAGACTGTAAGGCAAGTATTTTAGATCGAGGGAAATAGTAGGTCCTAAGTAGCTCCTCATTCCTAGCAAGTCTTACTCTTAGAAGTGCTCTCAGAATTTGCTGCTGCTGCCACTTGAAAATTTTTGCTTTAATTTTGTCACAGATTCTTTTGGGGAGTGGGTGGGGTATAAGTGATAAGTGCTTCCTAAATTTATTGCTTAATGGACAGTTTGCTTGCTGGTCATTTAGCTTGGCAGTGCTTTGACTCCTTGGAATTTTAAGTAAACTATTTTATTTAGTTTCCCAGTTTGCAAAATTGAAATAATACGTGTTC